TTTCTGGCATGCACTCCCCTCAGCATGGTGGCGTGGGTATACCGTTCCCCATAGCGACCCCTAGAGGACGCAGTTCGAAGTTCCCATGAAAGGGAACGTCTCAGGTTACTTATGTAACTATGGTTCCCTGAGTAGGGAACGAGACACTGCGTCCTCTAGATTGCTTGTCATGCTTCGGACGCAAGCTTCAGACGAAGAAGTGGATGATGTGTTCTCCCGGTGCCTATTTATACTATAGTCGCACCATGGCTGTCGCCGGCCAACGTGTTGTTGGTGTTTTTTCAATGTATGCTTCAGACACGGGTCACGACGAGGCGTTCCCCATAGCGACCCCTAGAGGACGCAGTGTCTTGTTCCCTACTCAGGGAACCATGGTTACATAAGTAACCTGAGACGTTTTCTCGTGTTTGATTTGAACACGTGGATCCGTTAGATTGATGTGAAATGGTGCACGTGATATAATTGTTCGGCAGTGATAAAACATTTAACTCGTAAATTTTGATCTGTTCAGATATTCGCGTTGTCCCATACAAGACTTGTTTACTTGTGTTAGAAGTGTACTGCAATGCATTACTACAATGATTACAGTGTTTTCATTTTGTAAATTGCATGTGTTTATTGTGTATTATGCGAATGTTGAGTATACGTACTGTATAAGACGGCTAAACGTAATAAACATATAAGTATAATTAATTAAATAAATGACATGTAAGTTGACATTGCAATGATGTTTCTCTGTCTAGATATCTTGATTGAAAGTCTGCTGACTAACTGCGAGAAAGTGCTGACCCTGTTATGTAGTGAAGTTCTACAGACAGAAATCCGTCTTCTATACGAACTACTTTAGTTTTGAACAATGGCTTTAGACAACACAAGCCATTCCGAGCATTAAAATAGGTGGGGACCCAACCCAGTGCTTTAGTGTGCTTGTTATATACATGCATATTACCATAGACTGTATAAAAACAGCATATTACATATATTATTGCATAATTATTTCAAATTCATGATAAAATGCCTATATTTAATTTATTTGCAATGCATAAGCTCATCTTTGCATCATCTGCAGGTTGAGCAATGCGTAAACTACTTGAAAGAGATTAAATTACAGGCTGCCATGGAAGATCTGAAGGAACTATGTCCAAACAAATTTCAGATGTAAGGTTTAGGTTAAACAAATGGCACACTTTTTTCCATATTATGGTTCTAAGAACACGTCTCAAAATATTGGAGCCTCCATTCTTTTAGCCCAAATGCTGGAACGGTGCACCCAAACGTTCATGTATCCTAAATGTTCATATTCACAACCATTTACTTTGGTTTAAAAAGGCTTATGATAGAAGAACAGTCCATGGCTGTGATTCTTCACACCCCAGTTAGACTGACACGACAGCACCTGCTGCTGGGCGAGTTCATTGTGCTGAATGTGGTGATAACCAGCATGCTCAGTCGTCTCTGGTGAGTTTGTGTACCAGTATGATATACCATGTCACTGCTGGATTTCCATTAAGCTATTTCCTGAAGATGCTAATTTGGGGAAACTGCAGGGATGGAGCAGCATTTCATATTTCTCTGCAACCTTGATGGTTGAAATTTTGAATAATTTTGCCTTATTCAATATAACATAACATCATATTTTTTGGACCTTCTTAACCATATTTAATTAAGTTATGGGGATGTCTTCATTTGTTTAAAAAAAAAATCCACAT